TGTTTCATGTATGAAGTCATTAGCTGTTAGCTCTTATTAGCTGTTTTCTATAGAAAAGCTGTATTTCCCAGGTGTCTAATGCTCCTTTTGGATCGGGTCAGCCATTTGTGCCTAACTTGCATCCCTTTGGGAGACATGCCAGTTATGTGGAAATACAGGCTAGGCAGTTTGGTTTCATCTGCTTAAATTGCTGAAACTTCCTGGTGATCTTGTTCTTCTCTTTATACACTGCTGAATAAATAGTTGCCCAAAGGAGAAAAAAATTTAAAAAGTGATGCTGGTGGGTGCCACCGAGGAGGCCTGGCGCCTGGGCAGATTTCAGAATCTTTTCGGGACATTTGAGACTTCAGCAGCAGTGGAATATACCTCCTGCTCAGATTTTTTATTTATTTATTTTTCTTCCTGCCAGACTTATTACTCTAAGCCAAATTTAAAGGTTGAACAGTACGTTYGAGGGCCGCATTGAACTGCATCCGGTTCGCCGGATGCTCTGATTTTGGGGTGTTTTGCCTCAGACAAATATCACTTACATGAGGCAGGTTTTGTAAATCAGTTCATCAGAGYGAATTTGGTAACGTGGGCGAGGAGCGACCGCGTGATGCAGGGCTATCTCCCTCCCGTTCTTTCTGGAATTTGTGGCTGGTGGACTTGTTCATAACCGGCCCGGCCAATTTTCACACGCAGCAGGGCATCACATTGACAATCTGAGCAGCCGTGCTGAGGAAATAAAATAATGCCCATATTGACCCGACAAAATWTCCGTCGAGGCTCCCGTTTTGCGGTCCGAACGGGCTCTCCGGCGGGACACGGGGAACACGAGGCCATGGCGGGCCAGGCTGTGGGACACAGCTCTGCAAATTCCCATTTGGCGGCTTCTTAGGTGGGAAGAGCTGAAAGGAAGAAAACTTGATATGAACATGACCTTTGTTTATGGTAGAAAACTTTCACAGTAGCAGTTATCCGTCTCCTCTCTCTTTACTGGCTGTCTTGCTGAATTACCTGTGTTTCCTTGCAGTTGGTCCAACTCTTTAATTAATCACATCCCTTTTCTCTGACCTCTCTGTTGCCATGGAAATCTCTCGCTTGATGCTTACTAGYGTAGTCAGAGCTGAGGCTGAGTTTTCTGGTCTCCTATTTTAATTCTGAGATTGTCGACAAGCAAACTGGAAGGCGGTCGCTTTGGGGTCGCTGTAGGTTTCTATGTGGAGTCGTTTGCGCTCGCTCGCTCATYTACCTTCCCATTCGGAACATGCTTCTCTTAGATTCAGTATTAACAAATTACTGCTATCGGTCACTACGCTGCCTTTCTGTTTACGTGTGTGGCTCTACAGAGGCTGCACTGGATCTAATGAAGCAGTAGCATCATTTTTCACGGCCGTATGTGGATGCCGAGGTCAACTGTGGCTCGTCTCTTTTTTTGACCATAGGCCAACAGATTTTTTTTTTTTTTTTACCAAGAGGAAGTTGGGGAATGAAGGAACGAGCAATGACTAAGTTTAAGTACCTCTTGGAGGCTTTCCCRTAAACCCTTGACCTCCCAGACTCTAAAGGAAAAACGTGAATATTTCTGTTGTGTTTGTAGAGGCAGTTTCTGCAAACCCCGCTCCCTCGAGGAGAAGTCTGCGGGCAGGGCCAAGGGGAGAAGCCCCAGCTCGGTTGTGGATAAGCCGCACGGTTATCCCGCTGCTGGCTGAAGGCAGCTATAACCCGCAGCGGGCTCGGACCCTGTTAAGGCTGTCACTCCGAGGGAGCTTGAATCGCACGCTTTTATTCCGAGTTTACATTTTTGTATTGTTTATCTTGGCTTAAAAACTCAGCTCAAAGACTGTGCTAGATCTTTCAGAATTTATTGTAAACAGAGCGAACATCTGCATTTACAACCTTTTCCCCCTATATGGCGTTAGTGAGTAAAACACAGGTTCTATTATTAGAAGGAAAAAGTCATAGTAGCAGCCAACTRCAGCCAACGTGGAGGTTCTTGTGGTTTTAGCATACAAATCGCATACAAATTTTGCAGACTAGGTCTGTATGAGCAAAACCAAAACCCAAACGATGGTGGCAAGGGACCTCTTAGGTGGTACCTCTTGGTACCTCTGTGGTAAGACGTCTCATGCCTCCAATGTGGTAATGACACTGCACCCTGTATCTGGTGTCAGGTGTGAGTTGTCATCCTAGATCCCAAATCCGGCTTTGTTGCATCTAAAGCAAATACATGAATAAATTAAAAAGGAGAAAAATCCATCTGCCAAGCTCGATCTCTCCTTTGCGTGGTTCAACACTTCATTTCACATGTGCAGGGTGGAGGTGACATCACAGGAGGTATTTGGTAGGGAGGTAAGGAGGGAGCAGTAGCCACACTTAGAAAAGGACCTGAAAAATGAAATGTCAAAATTAAAGCAGGCTGAGGGGTGGCAGGACTGTGCGTAACGGTGCCGCTCTGCGGACAAACCCCGGGCAGAGCAGACGCGGCCATAAATAAGTGTCCAAAAGCATGCGTGCGATGGGGAGAAGCCGCGTACAAAGTGTTTTCAGGAGTTTCCATGTTAATGTTAATTTTATTTTCCTCGAGGGCACCCTGGCACACCCTTGTTTTACGCTGCTCCAGCAAGGGCCACCTCTGGACACTGGCAGGAAGGCTCCGCCGCTTGGCAGGGCGCCCCCGCCAGCAGCAGCGCGGCCGTTGCGGCCGTTACGGCCGTTAGCGGCGGGCGGGGCCGGCGCGGGCGGGGGGGGNTACGGCCGTTAGCGGCGGGCGGGGCCGGCGCGGGGGGGGGGGGGGCGCGCATGCGCAGGCGCCGCCATGGCGGCAGGTAGGGGCAGCGCAGCGGGAATGGCGGCCTGGGGGCTCCGGCCTTCGGGGGAGCCGAGGAGCAAGGTTTCCAGCAGTAATCCCTCCTTCTCCCCCYTTTTTTTTAACCTCCATGAACAAACTTTCTAGCCGTTATCCCTCCTTCTCCACTTTTTTCCGCCCGCCCTCTAGGGTTATTCAAATATAAGCAGTTGTTGCTAGTCTCTATTGTGCAAGGGGCATTGGAGTAAACGTTGGAATATGGAATATATATATATATACATATATATATATATATATATAGGAATATGTTTGAGAATTAGCCAATTTAGGGAGCTCGTGTCTGCTTTGTCCCGGCCAGCCCCCACGCCCGGCTCCGAAAGGGCGGCCCTCAGCCCTAGACCTCGGTTTGAAGCTCAGCGGGCTGACCCTTTCTTTGAACGCGCTACCTCTAAAACCAAAACGCTTCTAAACTCCTGTCACGGAGCCTCTGTTATTTTTTCTGAATGATTATTTTGCAGTGCGTGTAAAAGCAGGAAAGCAAACGCTGCAGATCCAGGGTCCCAAGATGCGTGCTTTCATTTCGTAATAATAATTGTCACTGAAGGAATTGTTCATTTCTACCATCTGCTGTGCTGGGGCGACTGCCGAGTAGAGCCGAKCGGCAGCAAAGAAGTTAATATGGACAGGCCCTAGCAATGGGCACTCGTGAGAACGCTCGTTCTGGGAATGCTTAGGCTGGGCAGGCGTTATTAGAGTTGGGCTAGCATTTTATGTCTAACTATGGGGTTTGTTTGTTCCTCATTGTATCTCTGGGAACTGGAAGGCACGAGCGGGCCAGCGATGCCGGGCAGAGCTTGCCCTTTCCCGGCGACTCCTTTCCACGCGCGGGAGACGCTCCCGAGGATGYGTCATGGGGGCGGTCGGCGTCCCCCGAGGCGGCGCATCGAGCCTTGCGCCTCTCTGAGGCGGCCCGTAGCTCGTGCCTACTGATTTTTTGGGACGGCTGCCCCGATGGTACGTACTCGGAGGTGTGTCAAATAGAAATAGCGAAGCTTCTGTTCATAAGATACCTTAAGGTTCCATGATAGCAAATGAACTTGCCTAAATTATGACATCGTGACCTGGTCCCTTGGCCTCGTAAGTACCGTAGATGATTAATTGTACGTTTTCTTTGCAGAAATAGAAGCCGGAGAAGCCTGCGACTGACCGGCCGCGGAAGGGCCGTGAGACTTCCTCCATCTGCTCGGGCATTTGAAGGTACGATCTAGAGGGCTCTCGGAGTAGCTGGCAGCGAATCCAAGTAGAATTGTTTACATAGATCACCTGGAGCTTTGTGAAATGCTTCCGAATCCAGGCGCCTCTTCAGGCCGACTTGTGAAAAATGTTGCGGCCTAATTGGTGTTCTCGCAGAAGCGACACCCGTGAACATGGGCTCTTGAGAAATCCCTACAGGCCTGAGTATTTCCTGGTTACTGTTAGGCTCGGCTCCCCCAAGTTTCTGCTTGTGTGAATTTTATTTGCTTCTGTTTCCCTTGGTGCCATTAGAGGGTTATTTTTCTGAACTCCGTGAGAGGAACCCAAATTAATCTGAGGCCCCTCTAGCCCAACATCTCGAGCAATTTTGTCCGAGAGGCATTTTCTAAAAGTAGATGGGGAAAAAAAAATCATCTCACGATGCTGTGTTTTGCAGAGGGGTGGTCGGGAGCTGCCGACCGTTTCTGTTTCACCAACTGGTTTTTATTTTGTTGATAAGTTGCAAAGAGTACACGGTACAGGTAAGGCAGAATGCATCTGYATTTACTTTCAAACTGTTGTTCTTTTGTATATGTTTATTATCGAAAATGTGGAATATACTCTGATGAAATATATTTTTTAGAGATTTGAACAAAGAACTATAAATCAAAGAACGATTGACAACTACTGCGAGCTCTTGTGCCCACATCCCCTATTCAACACAAAATTAAAGCTTTTTTTGAACAGAATAAAAACTGAGCGCCGGGAACATGCGGAGCTAAATTTGAAAGGGAATTCACCTCAATTCCGCAGTAATGCTTCTCATTGGGCTAGGATTGGTTTTACAACACAAACTGCGAGTTTTAGTTCGTTACCAATAATGCACGTTCAGTTTAAGTGTTTGCTGCTGATTTTAAGCACAAGAAAGGAAGGACTTCGATTTAAAAACGATTCTTTTCCTATTCCTAGGTGGCCGAACATGTCAGAGACGCACGCTTCGATGAAAGCGGGAACAGGCCGTTGGAGGAAATGGGTATGTTAGTAAAATACAGGTCTCACGGACGAGGCGATAAGCCGTTATACTGAGGAACTTTTTTTTCCTGAGATGAATGAAGGGAGAGGCATTTCTGACCTCCTCTTGTTGTTCTCTTCCATCTGTCATTTTCATTTTGTAAAGGCACTGACTATTTAGGAATATCACATAGTACTGACTTTGTAGCTCTGATGGCCAGGGTAGTTTTTGTGTGTGTTACTGTCTGTTTTTTTTCATACACATTGCTCATCAATCCTTGCCCCAAGGACTCGGCATGTGTTTTAACCTCAATACTTTCTTAGGTATTTAGGTATTTTTAGGTATTTTCATATCATATTTAAGTTCTGCGAGTGAGCGAGATTTTGTTCTTATTGCCCGAGGAGGGGGATAAAGAGATGAAAAAGGTCAAGGCAATATTGTAAGAAGGTGGTGGTTCAGCGTCAGTTGTTTTAAAATTAGGCATGAATCTTGTTCATAGTACAAAATAGCTGGCCCAGCAAGAAGTGTGAAGGGGAGGGAGCAGAGGGAACGGGAGCAAATACAATTTTCCCCGAGTCCACTCTGACCTCTGCTTGTCGGCCCGGTGGATTCCTGAAGCAAATGTAGGTATTTTTGTAAGGTTGTTTTGTTACAAATTTGTTATAATATAAATTTACCCCAAATCCACTTGAGACCTCTAAACTCTTTACATCTGCAGATCCCTTTTCTGAGGAGACGAGTCTGTAATGCCTGCGGAGCCGGAAACCCCGTCGGCCACCCCCTCGCTCTCCTACCTCGGAGGCGGCGAAAGAGGGACCTGACCACGATCGACAGATCGATTTGAACATTATTCCCTCAACGGTCGCCCACCGAAAGGGAGTTATCCGGGCATGGTGGAGTGGGCCTCGGGTCCAAATTATTATCTCAGGGTGACATTTTCTGGGGAGCTAGGCATGTTAAGGAGCAAGTGGAGTGCAACCTTTGTAGCATTCATGAACTGAGTGCCTTTTTTTTTAAGGTGGGTTACAGCATGACGCACTCTCATGGCTGTACATGCATGTGTGTAATAGAGAAAACCGTGTCAGGGCCTTGGAGCCCGAGTAACGGAACGGCCCTAGCGAGGAGCGCTTGTTGGGATCCACAGCGACAAGAATATGAGTGTACCTATAATTTTGGTGCCCTGTCTGGGACTGTCCTCACAGATGTTTGCTGTGCAAGTCAAGTAAGATTTTAATGTTGTGTGTGGGTTTTTTTTAATATATTTTTTTTTAACTAATGCTCTTAATTTCCCCCCCTCCCCTGGACTTGCCAAGGAAAACCGAAACTCTGGGAACCCCACCCGTCAGTCATCCAAGGGTCGCTTCCATCCAGACGAGAACCAGGCGACCTGCCCCCAACCACTCTCGCTGTCCATCTGGCGCCATCATGG